CCTGTCAGCCCTCATCTGTGCACAAATTTATCTCCTCATCTCATTGGTCATGTGCGCGTTCCGTGGTGTTGGAGGAGGGGCTCTGTAAGGAAGTGGCAGACTTTTTCCGGTTGTGTATTTTCAAATTCTCGCGCTGGTTTCTCCAAAATGACCTACCCCACCTTTAGTACTTGTATGTAGCCTACTTAGTTAGATTCCAACTGGTTACAAAACCCCAGTGATTTAAATTCAATTTGTATCGCTTTCACCCAATCTGTTTTCGTCTTTTTAATAAACGATGTGGCATTAGCAATAAATCCCTCTCTACAATCCCAGCCGTGGTGAGAGGAGCGGCCGCTTTAAGAGGAGCTGCTCCGACGTCAGCGCCCTCATGGACATGTGGATCCGACAGCCAATAGCATGATCCGGGCTTTACTCATCCCCCTTTTCTCACAGGAGATCCCTCTGCTGAAGCACCGCGTAGACAGGGGTTAGCCACGGCTGCAAGATCATCACCAGATACAAGTAGCACCGAGATTTCCTCCCTTTACGCACCTGAAGCATCCAGTTCATATCCTCAGCTAGAACCACCGTGTAGCAACCATGTCTGTAGCGGGGCTGAAGAAGCAATTCCACAAAGCCACTCAGGTAAGAGGCATCATCAGATCTCCATGTTTGTGGTGTCACGTTGTAGTGGAGTGGCGTTTGGACGGTGGAATTTGGTTATAAATGGATACATCGTGCTGCCCTCATGTATCAATCCGCTGCAGCTCAGCTCCATCTGCTGCCTCTAAATCTCCCATCGCTGTCCTAGTGCTGAAATGTACTCCACTGCAAAGATGGTGCAGCGTTGCAGCAGTAGAATAATTTATTACTCGTGTTTTGCACTGCAGCAAAACAACGTTGCTGTTTTTGTATGTGTTTTTTTTTTAATGCATTTCTGAAAACCACGACGATTATTCAAAAGCATTTTTCTGTGCGGCCGCCTGGGAGGCAGGTGGCACGACACGGTGATGGTGGTGATGCCGGGGTCGTCAGTTCCTCCCGGTACCCTTCAGATGACATTCTGCACAGAAAACAGAGGCACCAGAGACGCAGCTCATGGCAGCCGCTCACACTTGTACTGCGCAGGTTGTTGCCCTAAATGAAGCACGGTTTTAAATCAGTGTTCTCTCGGCCAACCAACAGTGGGAACTCCGACGCGCACGACGATGTTATGCAATCGTTAAGTGCTCCTTGGTGGAAATCCGCTCCTAACAGCAGCGGCAAGCCATGACCGCAGCGCCCTCTAAACGCATTTATCTTCTACTGCGGGATATCAGTGGTGAATGAAATCACGTCTTTCCTTTCCAATGCTGAATCGTTTGTTATTTGTAGATGTCATACATGAAGGTTACTCCTCATCCCATCCCACACATTGTAGCATCTTTGGTTGTTTTGCTTCCAGTATTTCAGACTATGAGTGAGTTCAGAGGCCAACATTGGGGGCCATGGCTCACCGAGGAGATATTGAGGGACCAATGTATGGCCAGATTCTTCCCTGCAGCCTTAACTTACCCCAAGGCTTTGAGTGACGTGTGTTTCCGGTGTGGGCTGGGAGCAGTGTGAGGGAGCTTGTCCTGTTTCTAAGAGTGAGTCACAGTAACACTGAGAGTCAGCTTCAAGCATCACAGTAGGACACCCGGAGCCTGACACACACACACACACACACACACACACACACACACACACACACACACACATGCACGCTTCCCTCTCCTCCCCTTGATCTTCAGTCCACCGATGTCCAAGTGGCCTTGCTTGCCCCCAGTTTTCACCGTACCTCATGATTACAGGCAATCTTCACTGAAATGGATGGGATTAATGTTTAAATTGTGACGTTGATAACAGTGTGTCTCGTGAAGGTCAGTGTGGATATGTAATCTATTAGTTACATGTTGGACCTGCATAACTGACACTAAGCTGGCAGTTTGTGAGGACAGGAAGTGATTGCACATCAAACAGCTGGGACGTAATATGGTGATACAATGGAGTCCCGTATTGTTTACTATTTATAGGTCATTTATGCTGCCATTAGTTATTTATATCATCGTTTATGTCACACTGACATTTGAGATGCCTGCTGAGAAGATAAAAGCCACAAATGGGAGTGTTGCTATTCCTGAAAAGCAGCGTTTGCAGATTACAAATAAACCGAGAGCTACATCCTCTTTAACATTTAAATTGAAGCAAAAATAAACTATTGTTTTGCTTTTAACAGAGTTCTCAGTTTTAATCAGGAGCTCATTAGATCAGATTGGAAGTAGACAGCGGCCCACACAGGGTATTAGGTGTGTGTGTGTGTGTGTGTGTGTGTGTGTGTNAAACATTAAGGTGCAGCATTTCGATGAACTGAAATAATCTGTATTTGAACTGTACTGTACTAGTACCTAAGCAGCCAGCTTGACATTATGACTTGCTTGTCATTACAAGCAAGTCATAATGTCAAGCTGGCTGCTTAGGTACTAGTACAGTACAGTTCAAATACAGATTATTTCAGTTCATCGAAATGCTGCACCTTAATGTTTGTTTTATTATATTTCGTATTTATTTGAGTGAATACATTATTCAAAGTTTAATAAAAATAAATATATATATATATTTTATGTTTTGTGTTAATTTTTTCTGCTGTACCGAAAACTTACCGAACCGTGACCTAAAAACCGAGGTACGTACCAAACCGAAATGTTTGTGAACCGTTACACCCCTACTAACTAACAAGACTTTAACTGTATTATATCTGAGGAAGCCCTCTCTTGGAGTTCCTCTGACCTTTACCAATTTACTTAACATGGGTACACCTTATAACACAAAAGTGGAAGAAAAGACCATTTGCGCTAATCTACTTCTACTTAAAATGGGACATCATTTTAGGAATATATATATATATTAAAAAAAAACCTCTCTATAATTAAGAGGAAAAAATTGGCTCGTCCATTCAAGTTTAACACACATCCTATATATCAGGTGGGATTCAAATGAATATACCAGAAATACGCTGTATTACATTTTCTGCTATAACACGTTACTTTAACTTGCACTATTTTTTCTGTTTTATCGTGTTGCACTGTTGGAGAAGTCTGTGACCTAAGATTTTCATTGTCATAACTACACTGTAGCTATATACGTATGACTAATAAAAGCCTTGAACCTTGAACTTTGAAAGGGTCGCCGGTTCACATCCCGATCGAAGCTGGTAGCTGGAGAGGCGCCAGTTCACCTCAGAGGCCACTGCCGAGGTGCCCTTGAGCAAGGCACCTAACATCGATCCTGCTCCCTTTTTGATCTGCAAAGATATTTAGTGTTTTTTCAATTGATGGTGCTAGAGGGATTCAAAAACCCTGTAATGTCGCTTTACATATTGAGCTACAGCTTAAGAATATTACTTTAAAATGCAGGTGCAAGAAGAAAAGAGCTGCTCAATTAATCGTATTAAGATAGCATCTTCATTCAAGTGTAATGTGGTCTCGTTTTTAACGACAACAACAGCTTAACTGCGATGCGTTAGCTATCATCGAAGAGGGTGTCCAGATTAAGTGTGGCTGACCTTGCAAATGTCAATACACTGAGGAATCTTTAAGCACTAAAATTAATCCTTCCAGCAAGGATGCCTTTTACTGCTTATGAATTACTGTTTTATTTGTAGAAGGACTATAAAACAAGAAAGCCTCAGCCTGTAAGGTGAGCTGTATACCTCATTCACTTTAGAGAATGTAAGGACAGTTTGACCTGAAAACACTAAAAAGTGGCCTTTTGTTCACCCTTGACCCTTTAAAAGTTTACTGCCACTGCTTAACCTCATCTTTCTATAATTTACCATGCTCTGTTTCAGGGTTTACTCCGACCTGTCCCAAGTAACAAACAACCTGACACACCAGCGGTTCCAGCTCACTGAGGACAAGGAGGAGGCGGACATCATTTGGGGATATACTCACATCAAAGACTACAGGTGAGCAACAAAGCAACACACAGCATGCTTTCAGTGGAACGCTTTTGTCATTCAGACACAAGATATGTTGTAGGAAATTAGCTTGGTTATATGTGTTACGTTCCCTTCTGAGCTAGGGGAATAAAAGGGAAGCAACACAACCAGATTGGTATTGGTATAATTATAAGTGGTTTATTTTCGGATGCAGCGAGGGCGGGACCAGGAGATGACAGCCAATGACGTCGGGGCAACCACACAGCTCATTTACATATCACACACATGCACACACATGCACACAGCTGCAAACAATCCCAAACAGATTAACGAGCAGACAGAAACAGCAGCCATAACATATGCGTTATTGTTAAATTGAGATTTATCAGATATATAATCCAATATCTGCATTGTTTGAGGCCTTTAGTAAATGCCTTTTATGATTTAGGCACAGAAAGGTTCCCACACATAACAGCTCAAGAACATGCTGTTTGTATAATCTTGGTATTTCGTCTCAAGAGCCGCGTTCACACCGGAGTACTTTTCCCACTTTAGTTCCGATATAGTTAGAGAGAGCTAGAGAGCAGGGACTCTCATGCGGCTCTCTTGTGAGAAAAGAGCTATATTTCTGATAGGCTGGGCGGATTGCAAACCACGCCCCGTAAAACTCCAAAAAAGTGTTGTGAAGCCACCATTTTATTAGCATTAGCATTAGCCCAGCGCAGAAACGCAGAGAGACTAACTTATGGCAACACAAAATAAAACATGGGAGCAGTGGAGATGAGGAGGTGTCGGCGTTCTGGCGATTTACTCGAAGGCTTCGTCCCAGCAGCTTCTACTGAAGCCAGTCCCCAACAACCGGGGACTTCCGGCCGGGGATTTTGGGCGGCAGTATACGTCATGAAGTTGTTTGCGGCCTGCCAGTAAACCCAAAGCAGCAGCGGCTTCATTTGCCTAATCCTCCCCCAGGGACTTATTCCGGTGTGAACGCGATCTGTACTTAGTTCATCAGAACTAAAGAGTTAGGCACAGTTTTTGAAAGGGTTACATCCAGACAAGGATAGGGCACACAAAACCATCTTGGGCAAATGCAATAAACAAAAAAACATGGCATGTAAGGACTTTTCACCAGTAGAAGTCCATTTGTTTATCTCCCCCTTCTATTCCTGTTGTCATAAATCCTTCCTAAACAACAGAGCACCTCGTGTCTCAAAGAATTAAGAAAGACTTCCAGGATCTGAGAATAGGTCGCAACAGTAAAAGGTTAATATTTAGAAAAATACGTTAATGCAATCACAAAAAAACAAAATGTACATGACACTTCATCAATGTTTGCTGACACTTTAACCTTGTTATACGTGGAAACATTCTAAACTCAGTCTAACACATGACCAGTACATTCAATCTGCCAAAGGTTATTTTATACAATCTTAACAGCAGGATAGCAAAAATGATTAATTAAAAAGAAATGTTAAACACATGACCACCAACACAGACTAAGACAGATAATAGATAAAGACATTACGCTATTTATTTATTTATGTCGTTCAGGTGTTTTAAGTGTATACAAAAGCAACCTCGAAATGCTACACAGAAAGGGCCTTTTTAAAAGACAGTGTAATGTGAACGTAGGGTAAGGTTCCTCCTCTTTAGCCCATGGGAGTGGATAAAGTATTTGAACCAAAAGGCTAAAGTCTGTAAATAGCATGTCATTATTTAATATCAAGCACAATTGTGTGAAGTCCACATCATGGGTCTTGGTGATACAATTGTCTTTACATCTTCTCTGACAGGAAGCTGAGCGAGGAACGACCTCATGTGATGCTGAACCAGTTTCCCTGTGAGAGCATCATCACGGTGAAGGACTGCATGGCTGCCGTGGCTCGAAGGGCAAAATGCGGCCAACAACCTGATTGGCTCCCAGAGACCTTTAACCTCCACTCAGAGCTGCCGCAATTCATCAAGCATTATAAACAGAGACATCAGAGGTGGGAATGTTGCAAAGTCTTCCAAAAATATGTAGCTGATTGTTAGAAAAATATCACATGTCACCAGCTTGAGCTTCAATAACTGGATGCATGTATTTATTATCCTTGCAAGAATGGAAGTAGTCATCACATACAGAGCATATGGTACCACTAGTTCCTGTGTCCTTCACATGCTTATAAGAGAGGGAGTTACACAGTCACAAGATACATGGATACCGGTTCAAAGCGGTATTCTATGCTTGGCTCTGGGGCTACTGGGGTTACTGCGGAGCGCATAAAGCAGACTCTTCACGCTAACAATGGATCACTTCTTCTTCAGGGAAGGCTACGCAGTACGCAGGCTACTGTCCCGCAGCTGCTGTCTCTCTGTTGGACTCCGGTGCTTCACATTACTCACGAGATTGAGTGGGGGGGGCGGCGAACGCACTAAGCACTCCGCCACAGGGCATGCCGGATGAGAATGTCTGGCGTGCCAGATTTGGCCTGCAGGCCGCCAGTTGATGGTCACTGCCTTAGGGGCTGAATCATGATGTTAATCGTTGGAACCTAGCTATCGTAGGTTCACAACAGTGTCTCATAAGCTTCATCTATGTAATCATACATCCAGTTACGTACACAGTTACAGTTAGGCCTTTGTTATCATGTGCTACTCTGATATTGAAAGAGTATATTCAGTATTTTCCCAACACTGATGTTGTTGATCCATGAGCACTAAAGTACAACGTTGATGTTTTGGCATGTGTTTCAGGGGGAAGGATAATCATTGGATCTGTAAGCCCTGGAATTTGGCCCGTGGACTGGACATGCACATCACCAACAACCTGGACTACATTATCAGACAAAGAGAGAGTACACCAAAGGTACACTCGCTGAGAAACAGACGCCATGAAGCCAGCTTGCTTAAGGAGACCTTGTACATTAATCGGACAGAAAAAAGCAACATTTTACAGACCAGACTCAAACGTTTTTTTTTTCTAAGTTCCCCTACTGCGTTGAATGCAGTGAAGTGTTAATGAGGGGCAGGATTATAGGTTTTGGAAAGTTACCTTAATTGGTGGATGCACCCAATGTGACACTAAAGCCGCATTTTGACTACAGGTTTTACTCGCCATGGCTCGGTTCACCTTTAGGAAAACATGCCTACACTGCATGGTTACTATAGTTACTACCCTTTTTACTAACTGTAATGGAAACGCAGCTTGGAGTGAGCCGAACCGAGCAAAGGTGAACCGAGCCATGGCGAGCCGCGCTAACCTGTTGGCGAAATGCGGCTTAAGAGTGCTAGCTTATTTTCCCGCTTGCTAGTCGCAGCATTTCTTCCCAACAGACTTCACTTTTTAGGTCATTGTGTGGCATTTTATACTATAATTTGCTTGTGACGTGAGGAGCGACCGGCTTGTGTTAGTTATTTTGTTGAAGTTCCTTTGGCCAAGTGTCCCAGTGGGGTAAAAAAATAAAAAGGAGACAGATACTAGGGTTGAAGTTCTTAGGTGTTTTTTATTTATTGAGAGTTATGGTTGGCAAGGGTTGGGTTTACATACACACGGCATACTCAGTTACTAGGTTTAATTATTGGAAAGAAATTGCCTTGGTAAGTTGGCATCTGTCGGCTGTGCAGCCGAAGTTCAGTCGGACGCAAGTGATCGTCTCCCATCTCTTATATGCTGCCTTAAACAGGATGTATACCCCATATCGGGTAAACAAAATTGAAAACTAAAAATCACATGCAAGCTTTGCTTCCTGTTTTTGGAGCTCAGCTTCTGAGGTTTCCGGTGTTGTTGCACCACATGTGCTGCTGATGCAGGGGCTCAAAGTGAGGTGTTGCAACAGAGAAATGCCATGGGTTGTAACAAATCACTCCATAAGAACATTCCGCTATTTATTTTACTCAATACAATATCAAAACATTTGACTTAGTTAAAGTAATGGAAACAGTTATTGCGCACATACGAAGGAAGCATTTATATTAATCTTACATTTTATTATTTAGTAGCCTCTAACTGTGTGTGTTGCTGTGTCTGTGTTTTCCAGGTGGTGTGTAAGTACATTGAAGACCCAGTGCTGTTCAACAGAGAGGAGGTGGGAATGGTGAAGTTTGACATTCGCTACATGCTGATGTTGCACTCTGTGCAGCCTCTGCGTCTCTACGCCTACAACGTCTTCTGGTTGCGCTTTGCTAATAGGTAGGTACAGCATGCATGCATGCATTTGTCAATGCATTGGTGGCTTCTGCGGCTCAGGAGGTTATGTGCGATACTCAAGTCCTCAAAAAAGGCTTTAGTTTTCGAGATACCCCTACCCGAGGTAGAACAAATGACAACAATGATTTTTCTTATCTTTAGGGTCTCCCATTAATGAAATTGATTGTTGTCAAATTTTATTTTGGGGGGAAAAATGTTTTTTTGGTTGTTCTTTAGAACTACCCAAATCCCTGAAAAAGAGCCAAATTAGAACAGGCCGAATATGGGAAAGGTGACAAAAAAGCCCATAACTTGAGAATTATCACACTTTTCCTCTTCAGATTTGCTGAGGTATGAACCAGGTGGCTGTCCTACATCACCAAATAGTCAGACAATTATTTAACTAAGAAAATACTGAATTATAGTCCTATAGACTTAGCTTTAGTTTAGACGGAAATTGTACTTTTGTACATATATTGTACTGCCCCACAGAGACTACACTCAGGATTTGACGAAGGGGAGGAGGTGAAGAGCATCTGCACAGCAGGAGTCCGTAGTTTGAATTCACTGTGCAGTGATCAGGAGGAGGCAGACAAAAGGATGGTGCTCCATGCCATACATCTTGCAGAGTCATATTCCCGCATCATTGTGAGGTCTGATCACACAGGTGTGGAAGTACTGCTCATAATTTATGCAAGCAAATACATGTTTGGTTCATCTCTAGTGTACATGCATGCAGGCCATGAAATGAGAGAGAGATCTGTCCCCATCAACACCACATGTGAGAAAATTGGAAAAGACATGTCTAACTGTCTACCAGCATGTCATGCACTCACTGGCTGTGGCACAACAAGTAGTTTGTACAGAATAGGAAAGACAACAGCATTCACCAAACTCAAGACCCATCTCAGCGAGCTCAAAGATCTGGCCCATTTTGGACTCTCAGCTTGGAAGATTCTTTGCCAGTCGCAAGAGAATTTGCGCTTCTGCTATATGGAAAAAAGGAAATTGGACTGATGTGCACAAACTTGGATGAACTGAGGTTCATAATTGCATCAACAACAGATGCAGCCTCTGAAAATCTGCCGCCAACAGAGGATGCATTTCAAAAACATGTAAAGAGCAATGTTTCAGACAGCGATATGGTGTCACAGCCCGAACCCAAACCCTTGTTATGGAGTCCTATTGGCAATTCAACCAGTGCTATTTACAAAAACCCCTGCACCTACAGAAGTGAGAGACATTACTCACTTGCATTGCAAAGATGCAAAGTGTGGAGAGAGTGGAAAGTGCCAGTCCCTGTACTTCCCCTGCACCTGCTGTGCAGAATGTCAACATGTGTCAACGTTTCTGAGGAACCTGACATTTAACATTATATTCTAGTATCTATATACTTGACCTCTCACATAATTATTTGATGAATTGTATACTGTACTTTGAATTAAGGTTCCAGTTTCAATAAAACCTGTACTATTTACAACTATGTTTTAGAGGCTTGCAATTTAGAACTAATACACTTTATTGTATTGGGTTACTCTTATTCTGACTATTTGGTGATGTAGTTCAGCCACCTGGTATTTCCCTCTCCAAATATAATGGCCATCAGAGTGAGCATTCTTAACTTATCCCCCATTCGGAATTTGACTGTATCAGAGAAGAGGCCTATGTCTACATAAATCTCACTTGCAATAGAACTGTACCAGATATTTCCATACAATTACTGGTTAGTGTTCAGTAGAACCCGAGACAATTCAGTAATGGTATATTTTTTAGGGATTTCAGTTTTTACTGATAAATGAGAGAAAAGTGATTGAGTCCTATGTTCCTATCACCAAAAAGTACAATTCCCGTCTAAACCAAAGCTACTGTAGTGCGTTCACACCTGCCTTGTATAGTCCGGCTGATTTTCTCTATGTGTGCTGCTCGGGACGAAAGTGCCATACACAGCTCATGTTTAGAGAAACCTTAAAGAAAGGCATCAGTAAAGTGGAGCTTCTCTGTGAAAGCAATGTAAAGATTTGTATTGGACA